GCCTTGTGAAGGAATCATTCATTTGAACTGACTCTGCAGATGAACCTAACTCTTCTGTAGCACCTTCCAGTGTTTACATTGGTCTTATTATCTTTATAAATTGAGTTCCACAACCCCCCCCCCCACACACACACACACACTTTGCAGACATAACATCCTCCACTCTTCTGGGAAGCTGTCCTCAAGATTTTGGAGTGTGTCTGTGAGAATTTATGCCCTTTCAGTCAAAAGATCATATTTGAGGTCAGACACTGATGTTGGACGAGAGGGCCTGGCTCACAATCAATGTTCCAGTTCATCTCAAAGGTGTTCAATGGGGTTGAGGTCAGGGCTCTGTGCAGGCCACTGGAGTTCCTCCACATCAAACTGGTCAAACCATGTCTTTATAGAGCTCACTTTGTGCACAGGGGCTCAGTCATGCTGGAATAGAAAAGGCTGTTCCCCAAACTGCTGACACAAAGCTGGAAGTATGTAATTGTGTAAAATGTCTTTGTGTGCTGTAGCTTTAACATCACCCTTTACTGGAACTAAATCATCCCCAGCCAATTATCCCTCCTCCACCAAACCTTACTGTTGGCACTATGCATTTTAGTAGATAGCGCTCTCCTGGCATCCACCAAACCCAGATTCATCCATCAGCCTGTCAGATAAAGAAGCCGATTCATCACTCCAGAGAACACATTTCCACTGCTCCAGAGTCTAGTGGCGGCATGCTTTACACCACTCCAGCTGATACTTTGCATTGCACATAGTGATCTTTGGCTTGTGTGCAGCTGCTCAGCCTAGGAAAGCCATCTTGTGCCGATGTTGCTTTCAGAGGGAGTTGAGTGATGAAACAGAGGGTAGATGCTACATGTTGAGGCTCCACTTTGTGAATTTGTGTGGTCTGCTGCTTCATGGCTGAGCTGTTGTCACTCCTAGATGCTTCCTTTTCACAATGATAGCATTCACAGGGCAGATCTAGCAGGGCAGAAATTTCACCGACTGACTTGTGGCGGAGATGCCACATATAAAGGCACTGAACTCTTCACTACAACCCATTCTACTGCCAGTGTCTACAGAGATTGAATGGCGGTGTGCTTGATTTTAAACACCTGTTAGCAAAATGGATGTGGCTGAAACTTTTGCCCATATTGTGTATGTGTTTGTGCAGCTGTGTCTGTGACTGTTAGAGGATCCCTGCTGGAGAATTTATGGGAGCCAAGTTGCTTTTTTGACTCGAGTCGAAAGAATCAAAACAGGCGAATGAGCTGATTTATTCAGCCATGTTTCATTGGTTCTCAAACATCTTCAACTTAAGGTTCAACTCAGCCAGTCCGGCTCTGTTCATACTTGGTATCACCATCTGTGTTGAATGATCTGATCTGATTAGACAGTGAGATGTATAGCCGTTCATACCTGGCATTTCCACAAGTCTCAAATGTGTCTGCAGTGACTACATGTGGTTCAATGTAAATGTAAATATAAAGGCAAACATTTAAGTTCATTCATTGAAATGAACATTTTTAAAAGGACAGCTTTCGGTAAAATGATTCAAGCTTATCATCAGTCAGCTGAGCTGAGCATGAAGTGATACAGCTTATGCCATGTGAGTGTGAGTGTGTGCGTCAACATTACTGATTGCAACACATAAACATTACTCACAGACATGAAGATGAATGGTTTGAGTTTATGGTTGAACAAATACTTCTCTCCTTTGCAAAGTCTCACCATCTCTATTATCATCCACTCTCTCTCTCTCTCTCTCTCTCTCTCTCTCTCTCTCTCTCGTCTGGGGCATTAAGTGGTAATACAATCATCCTGCTGCAATGGATCAATCATTCTGCCCCCAAATCCCCTTTCAATGCCAAAACCACCCCTTGAAAAACACACACATACACACACTTCAAGTTTCCGCTGTTATTTCATCGACTTACTCTTTTCTCTAAAGCCATGGGCTCCGTAGATTGAGACCTGTTCATTGATTGACGTCCTCAGGGGCATACAGTGACACCACTGCAAGCACACTTAATGCTTACATGTTCAATACACAGCTCTCTATATATCAACCTGTTATTTATATTGCATCATTTAACACACACAAACTCTACCCAAGGTCTGGGCTTTCCTTTTCAGTGCGCATTGGGCCTGAACCATGACTTTTAAAGTGATTTACATTTCAGCCACTTAAACATCCAGGTGAAAAGCCAGTACACATTAATGGTGTGAAGACTGACTACATAGAAAATCTACTAACACTTTATTTAAAGTATAAATAAATGTAGAGACTTCATAATCTCCATAAGCAATTAATGTCTTTGCAAAGTCTTTGCATATAGAATAAAGTATCCTGAGCAACTAAAGTGAATTACAAAGTGTGTTACTTATACAGGTTTTTCAGTAACACTTGATTTGAACGCTATGTTTGAGAGAGACTTCATAACATATGCATAAGTTTTAAATCAATACTATAAAACAGCTCACATCAGTATTCAAAATATGACAAAATGTTTTATAAAGTAAATGACATTTCATTGTCATACAGAGCCTAAATTGATTGATATTTATTCCATGTATAACACTGTTAAGAAGCAAGTAATTTAACACAAGACAAAAAGGTAAAAAGATCTAGTGAAGAACACCATTGGTCAGTTCTGTGGACGATTTTGATGACCTTGGACTTAAGTGATCATTTTCATATATATATTATCCTGCAACAAATGTACTGCACTGTATGTTATTATAGTTATTATGGCTTATATTATGCCCTATTATTTTGATAAATACTCTCTATTGTGTGGATGCAGACCTGAAAAAGAATCAGCTTTTCATGTATGCAGACAGATCTCCTTAATAGAAATTATTCCTTTTTTACTTAAGAAATATACACCGATGAGCGAAAACATAATGGCCACTCACAGATGAAGCAAATAACATGTATTATCTGGTAACAGTGGCGCATGTCAAGGTCTGAGATATAATAGACCATAAGCAAACAGTCAGTTCTTGCAGTTGACGTGTTAGTTGTGGAAGAAATGGGAAGGCGTGAAGACGGGGCTGTGTAGCTGCGGTAGCAGGTCAGAGTGCCCGTGCTAATCCCCGTCCACTGTCAAAAGCGCCTACAATAGGCACAAAATAGGACACTGGAGCAATAGAAGAAGATGCTTGGTCTTTTGTATCATATGGCCAGCCAGGTACGTGTGCACTGTTTACCTGGGTAATGATGCCACCAGAATACAATGTGGGAAGAAGACATGCCAGCAGCGGCGGTGTGATGCTCTGGGCAATGCTGGGAAACCCTGGATCTGGGCATTAATGTGGCCATCAATTTGACACGTGCCACCTATCTAAACATCAGGTACCACACCTTCAAGGCAATGGTATTCCTCGATGGCAGTGGATTCTTTCAGCCTACTGCACACATTCAGGAATTGTTTAAGGAACATTTTGAAGAGTTCAAGATGTTACCCTGTCTTCCAAATTCCTCAGGATGTGGTGGAACAACAACCACCACAGGGCATCTTCAGTGATCTTGTAGAGTCCATGATTTGGTGGGTTGGCAGCGTGCACGTGTTTATAATATTTGTGCCCATCTCTGTATCTATAGTTTTCTTAGCTAGACCCCACCATGTGTTTTCTATTACCTGGGAAATGACTTTACTGAATGGCAGTTCATAAGGCTACGCCTGACAACTGACATAAACCTACACTCCAGTGCAAAAAAAATGGGCCAAGCCCAAAATATGATGTTTTTTTCTGATGGTTCTGGCTGGTCAGAGTCCAGATTTAAACCCTATAGAGAATATTTGGGCTCACATTTAAACACAAACTAGCTCAGCTGTTTGAAGCCATCAATACTGAGTAGATCAATACTGACTCTTCTTTCTGTAAATGACTGTCTGCACCTGTTTAATTCTTGTTTATTAATTGACCAATGATTTGTTTGCATTGTGTTTTGATATTTTGGGCTGGGCCCTTTTTTTCATAGGAGTGTACTTGAACATTTAGAAAGATTTATTCCATCAACACTTTCTGAGGTTAAATGACACTGAAATTGACAAAAGAAGGCTTTATGACCACAAACACTGGAAATAAGCTTTCAAACCTGTTTATGTAGGTTTAGGTCAGCCATGAAAGCCTTATGTAAGCAACATGTAAACTTATGAATGTTGCCCTTCACTGCACTTTAGACATTACTATTATTTTTACTATTATTATGTCTAATAGTGTACAGAGGTGTCTTTACTTACCTGTGAAGAGACGGATTTACTGTATACCCACATTAATGATTTACTGTATACCCACATTTACTGTGTACCCATCTACAAACAGCAAGGTAAACTTTGTTTCCAAAAGTATCCAGGCAGCCCTTCTAAGAATTAGGCTATATTATGGTGCACCAAATGTTGACACAGGTGTTCAATTAAACACACAGATTGCATAATCTCATTAGCAAAGCATTGTTAATTTAATGGGACACTCTACAGCTGCCAAGCGAGGGCTATGAGCAGTGATGGAGCTCCATCCACTACCTTTGGGATGAGTTGGAGTGATCCAGAACTGACCATCCAACATTAGTACATGACCTCACTAATACTCAATCAGATCCTCACAGCAATGTTCCAACATCCAGTGTAAAGCCTTCTCAAAAGAGTAGAGGCTATTACCATAAAAGCCCTTCAAATCTCAGGTTTATTACATATTAAGGCTTATTATTCAGAACTACAGGGACGTCAGTGCAAACTGGCTGAGCTGTTCTTATGTTATAGAAGTGTGTAATAAAACTTTGGCCCACTTAAGAGGTTAATAACCTTTCAGAAGAAATAAAGGATAAGTGTGTGTCTACAAACATTTGGACATGTATTATATATTTGTTTCTGATTTTGTTCTTGCCCATGACCTGCAAGAGCACAGAGTTGGGGATCCTTTACAAAGCATAGTATACATGCCTATCTAAACCATTACACCACTGGAAAAAGTCTTTCATTTATAATAATACATTGTACAAAAAGGACAAGAACTGTTAGTAAAACAAATTTAGACAGCTTTATTTAGTAAAGTTGATAATACACAATATGTTTAAATAGAACAATCTATTCACCATACGGATATCAAATACTGACATAGTGTAAAATAAATCATTCAAAAGTGACTAACATGGGGGTGTTAAGCTCAGCCCTGCAGAGATTAGTGTATTTCCTCCCCTAACACATCAAACTAAACTCCCAAAGGCATTGCTAATGAGCTGAAACAGGTGTGCTAAATGAGGTAGAGTGCTAAACTCTTTATTTAGAACTGGAGCCTCACACGCCTGGACCAACACAAATATGTGACTGGAAATCAACTAAATCAGGATATAAAGGCAGATATTAAATTGGCATGAGCTATCTATATACATTATATACATTATATTATTGATGTTATCTGTTAGGATAATATGTTTGGTATTAAACCACAATTGCAGAATAATTTTGGTATTTTAAACCATATTACTTTGTCACATTCTTCCTAAACGTTACAAAAATAACATATACTTTAACTTTGCTACTTAATAAAGAATAGAATAATAAAATGATTCTGTACTACTGTACAGAATAATTAAAAATGCAACAAAAATGTTTAACCAGCCCAGTGAAAATTAAAGATTGCATGTACTAAGTGTCCTACTCAGACCCATTCAAATGTTTTAGAGCAGCAGTGTTAGTAAAGTCAGAGCAGAATAGAAACCGTACCACATCATCATTGTACATAACAGAACAAACAGTGCATTAAAACTATGAGGGCTGTCGGTGTTAATATGTTAATAGCGCATTAATAAAGTGACAAACTGGTACATTGATACTACTAATTTGTTTGATGCTGTTAACGCATTTTTCTAGTTTGACCCTTTGAACCATCAATAGTTCAGGCTGAAGCCCAGCTTATTTGTCGAAATGATAGAATCCGTGATTATAGCGCTCTCGTTAAAATACGGCTTTAAAATGGCTTTTAAAGTGAAACCAGCACCTTCATCAGACTACACTGGACAGATGCTTGCGGAAGAACCATGGATGACCAAAGAAAACTAACAAAAGCAAAGTGGAGCTCCAGTTCACTTGAATATGAAAATCACATGATTTTCATATTCAAGTTGACTAATGAATACATTAATAAATACATTCTGATAAAGCACATATAGCTATAACAAAATATACTGCTATTTAAATGTGAAAACAGTTTTCTTTAGGGTCAATTTTGAGCAACTAAATGTAATTACAAAAAATACTGTGATTAATTATGATTGTTTCAATCATTTGACAGCCCCATAAGCTACTTCATACAACACTGGCCAACAAAATAATAATAAATCTACATAACAAATATATTTCAGAAAAAGCTCTTACTTACATTCTTGAAATGTTAGAACAGTACTTTGTGTACAAAACGGTAGATATTAAACTCTTTTTTTGTTTTAGAATCTTCCTTCACTTGTCTATATGCATGCACTGCATTCCGTTCAGAATGATACCATAAACCTCTTACATTCCTAAAGAATGAACAATACAGTTACTACTGTAATCAGACTCAGTTTTGAGTGGCTGAAGTCATACAGACACAGTCTGTAAATGCCTCACGGTCGTCTTTTTAGCGTCTATGACGACACAAGTAGACACGCATATGATACTTCTCCACCACAGAACAGTACAAAAAAGACATATTATGTGCAAATTCCATCTGGATCTGCAGTCTTTCTTAGTGTGAACGTTCCTCATGCAGAACTGCATTTTGAGGTATGAAAAAATCAATATAAATGTCGTAACTAACTGCTAGATGGATGGTCGAGGTACAAACATACTGCCGGCAAACCATAGTATTGAAGAGCTCATGCTCCACACTCTTGAACATAAAGGTGCCAAAAGGGTTCTTTGCAGCAATGCCATAGAACAGAGGCCTAATCCTGGTACTGGATATCTACCATGCAGCCATAATCATCCATATTCCAAAAATAATCTAACTTATCTAAAGGAGAATATAAGAACTAGGTGTGGTAGATCTCTCCAGGGTGCTAAATCTCCAGGACCAGGAATGGGCACTCCTGCCATAGAAGAAGGACCTTCGGTTCTCTGAACCTATTAGTTGTCTAAGGAAAGCTTTCAACCTGATCTCTATCTGCGTCAACAGTTTAGCTACCTTTGCCTGTATTTGCCCACACAGAACAATAATATACACTTAAAAATGATGGTTCTTCAGTAAAGAAAATAGTCCTGTATAACACCATGAACACTTTGCATGATTAAGAGTTCTTTACATCGTGAAATGTTTCTTCAGACTGATAGAGAGCATGCTATAGATAGTTCCATTAAAAACCCTCTAAGAAAAAGGTTCTATATAGTGCCAAAAAAGGTTCTTTTATTGTTACTAGGTCAAGCTTGTTACAATAGGAAAACCTTTTTGGCGCTCTCTAGAACCCTTTTCAAAAGGTTCTATATAGAACCATATAGAACACATTTTCCATCAATCTGAAGAACCATTTCACCATGTAAAGAACGTTTTTATCCTGCAAAGCGTTCTTTGAGTGTTCATGGTTCCACATAGAACCATTTTCTTTTCTCAAGAACCCTTGAAGAACCATCATTTTAAAGTGTGCATACCAGAAGTCAGTGCCAATCTGTTTTGAGTCAACATAAATTGCAAATTATGGCAACAGCTGCAGAATACAGAGATTAGGTTTATGAATGCTGGAATGTTCCATTGACAGGATCATTAGGGAACCGAAAGTGGTTCTTGTCTGGCATCACTCCAAAGGACCCTTTTGACACCTTAATTTTGAAGAGTGCACATTGTCAGTTTCCATTTCATGCTAGCGTATATCTACTCTCATGAACTGAAGCTAGCAGATGAAGCTGGCAACCACTGAATTTCCCCGAATGACCAATTACGTGTCTGTGTTGGCAGTGGGGTTCAGCTAGCTGGCATGTGCGCCATGTAGAGCAAGCACGCTGCAGGACATCTGTGACTGATCATTTTCTCCACAATTACATCAAACTGTTCATCCAAGCTGGGCTAATGTCACATCCTCGAGCAGCGTGCTCCCACTTTCAGTCTGGTGCGTGAGCCTGTCAGCGCACATGTAATTAGACCAATTTATGAATGTCCTTCTCTAACATAGAGACACTCTGACTGCCTCTTCTGCTTAAAAATGCTTTTTACAAGTTCCAAGACAGAAGAGATGTTGGATGCATATCATCGCTGTCATTAGAAAACTTGCACATTTCAGTTTTATTTGAAAAGGACAGATGAATTTTAGGCTACACTGTGTAGATGTTTCTTAATCAAAAATATACGGATGGTACAGATGTTTACAGATGTTTTACAATCCTCTGTAGGTACATCTTTTAAAAAAAGTGGTTCTTAAAGGGTTCTTTAGCATAGGCAAGGTTATATGTAGAACCGTGACATCTCAAAGAACCCTTTGAATGTTAAATGGTTCTTCTCTATGATGGACCTGTTTTACCTGCTTCCTTAAAGAAACTTTTTAAAAATGGTTCTACATAGTGCCAAAAAGGGATCAGCTATGGATGAAAGTCATAGACAAACTTCTTTTGGCACTAAATAAAACACTTTGCTGAGAGTACAGCATTTTGGAGATGTTTTCTTTTGACAGCAATGATATGTAACTACAGTTCTATAAGACTACAATAATGGAATTTGACTCAGTGTACAGCAGAGGTCCTTGGAGCTTGACCCTTTTTGTAAAAGTTTGGTTCCAACTCAAATCAACCAAGGTGTTCTGAAGCTGGATCAGATTTGTTAGATTTTAGATTAGAAACTCTGCAGAAAGGTAGATCTGTAGATCTTCAGGACTTCCACTACTGACCGCTGTAGACTACATGTATAGCCAAACATCCAAAAAATAATATGAGGCTGTGACAAAAGAAGGTGAATGCAAATTGTAGCTGCTGTGTATGAGCGCATGTACGGTTCAGAGCAGACAGTGAGAATGAAAGTGTTTTCCTGCATGGGTACTGAAAGGTCTCTCTCATTCTCTCTCGTGGTGCGAGAGAGAGTGAGAACATGTCACTCAGGGGAGTGTTTTCTATAAAACATAAAAGAGGAATGAAAATGAGGGAGGGATGAAGGGAGCATGTTCTATAAAAGAAAGAGGAATGAAAGAGGGAACGAGGGACGAGGGGGGTCAGGAAGGGTCAGTTCTCAGCAGGAACCACCTCCAGGATGATCTGTAGTGATCTGTTCACAGAGTCTGCAAAATAACACCCAAAGCAAACACAACGTTAGGTATCTCTATACTTACTGTCCAGACACTGTTTAATTGTAAAGATCTACATTTGTTGCACTGTCTGAAAACATTGTGTTGTGTCTGTATGTTCATCATGGAGATGACCACTGACCTGAGAATCTCTGGAACCACTTGGGTTTCTTGTTGAAGACAATTAAAATGTAATAAGCAGGGATTCCTGTGAGCGAGATGGCAAAGCCAATGCCGGTGTTGACCGGGTCAGAGTACAGCGAGAGGAAGACCATGAAGAAGCTTGTGAAGGAGAAAATAGCTGGGATAAAGATGGGAACCTGGAAGCAGGATGGAAACAGCATTAGAACTGATGATGGTGGACAATGTTAGGCTTAAATCTCTTTTTACCAGCACCACCAATTTCAGTACCATAACTATCATTGTAATGTGATAAATTGTTCAGATTTGCACTGGAGCTACAAGGCTAATATAGATAGTATATAACAACAATTTGGAAAAGTGCAGCCTTCAAAATAGCTGTTACTGTTATTTACAACTAAGAGATGAACTTTGGCCCCTTTAGTTATAGATAATAGCATGTCACACAGGGTCAAAAACCTTGGGATTACTTCACTGCTATACGCAGTTTGAGGTCTGTTAAGGTAGCAACTCTTCAAAATATCAGGCTTTTCACAACCCTAGGCTTATTAGTGAGTAACTACATGATTACTGTTAAGTAATAGTGTTATGTCATAAAAGTTTGGACCCATTGACGTATCCTCACCATTGAAGTGATGAAGTCAGTAGGAACTGCGTAAGTGGAATATTGTGTAATTTTGTGCCAGACTATTTCTTTAATAATAGTCAGATTGCAAAATGTTGCCTCAAACTTACATGAAGGTTATATACTACTTTCTGAAAAAAGATGGTTCTTCTATATGGAACCATAAACACTCAAAGAACCCTTTGCATGATTAAAGGGTTCTTTGCATCATGAAAGTGTTCTTCAGATTAATGGAAAATGTGCTGTAGATGGTATAGCCCTAACCCTAGCCAACTGAGATCTGTAAACTAACTGCTGCAAGAGTTTGTTAGATCTGTGTGTATGTAAATTACCTTGAAGGGACGGGGCATCTCTGGCCGTGTGTAGCGCATGTAGATGAGCCCTACAACAGCAACCCCAATGAAGAGCCAGCGTAGAAAGCTCATGAAGTTCAACAGACTGTAGAGGTCCCCCAGAAATAGGATGAGCATAGTGATAGGATACTGCAAAATACAGGAGGTAAATTCATCAGCATTTGACTTCAAAAAGCTCTAACAGTACAGTGGTGTTCAAAATGTAGCCTGGTTTTATTACCCTGTTGTAATACAAGTGCAAACACATTCCTGATACAGGAGTTTAATTCTGCACACACAGCTAATCTAGAAAAGCATGAATCTAAAGTCACCATGTCTGATTGTAAACATCGGCTAGAGGGGTATAAAGCCCCCCAGCACTGGGCTGTGGAGCAGTGGAACTGTGTTCTCTGGAGTGATGGAGCTCCATCCAGTACTGTTGGGATGAGTTGGAGTGATCCAGAACTGACCATCCAACATCAGTAGCTGACCTCACTAATGCTCAATCAAATCCACAAATCCTTCATTTCAGAAGAAATGCTGATTATCAGCAGGTGTCCACAAACTTTTGGACATATTGTTTGAGCTCTGGGCTTTTAGCTTTTCGTGAAAGCCTGCTGTGAAGTACAATTAGGAGTTTGTTCTTAAAATGGTTCATGGTTCTTCTTGCCATCATCAAAAACGGTTCTTTAATGGCTCTATTGAAAGGTTCTTTACAGAACAAAAGTGCTTCTCCAGTCAGTGACATTGATCCGCAGAAGCTTTTCAGCTTGGACTACTTTTTTTTAGTGATTCTTTAATGTTTTTTTTTTCTCCTTCTTTGTTTCTGGGATGTCAAATTTTTGACTTTATTTCTCAAAATAATGACATTTTTCTCAAAATATTCAAAAAATGATCTTTAAGTTATGACTAAATATCTTGAAATAATTACTTAATATCTTTTTAAAATATTGCATTTTTTCTCCTTTTCACTTTCACTTAGTGTCTTTAAATTATGACTTATTTCTTCAAAACATTGATTTAATATCTAAAAACAATGACTTGTTTTATAAGACACAATTTCTAACATTACCTAGCATTTTTTAGGTGCATTGAGGTGTATGTGAACATGTTGACTAGTCTAAGGTGTTTGGTAAGGCAAATGTAGTTTGATCTGCATGTGTGTGTGTGTGTGTGTGTGTGTGTGTGTCTGAATTACCAGAACAATCACAGCAGCTATCGGTGTGTGTCGGCGGACATGAATCATAGACAGGATCTCAGGAAGTTGACCCTCTCGAGACGCTACATAGAACATTCTGGACAGGAAGGAAGAGGTTTGTGTAAAGCAGACACTGATGACTCTCTGAGTGAGTTAGTGAAATGAATGATGGATCAGCAATGACACGAATAATGAAGAACAGCAGCCTGTGTGGGCTCTAATAGGTGTGTCTGAAGTGAAGCTTACAGTAGCTGACATTCACCTCCAACAGGTACTTTTCTATAAGATACTGTTAGTCATGTCTGTCTGAAAGGACCATGAATGGCCAGCAATTTGTGGGAGCAAAACACAGCAAAAACACAACAGAGTGGTCATTATTTTGAAGCTAAAGCAAAAAAGAAGGATAAAAATGAGCTTTCATATGGCCACTAAAGAAGCAGTAGTCAGCTACTGGCAGCAGGGGCTCACTGTCTGAAATAAAGGTTCTGTACGTTTTTCATTCATCATGGCACAAACAAACGTCCCCTTAAAAGTATAACAGTGGGTTTAAGGTCCAAGTGTGTACCTTAAATAAGTTTTCCCAGAGGAAGAGTACATATTTGTGCTTTTTCATGACATAATGTATTAAAACAATAATACAATGAAAAGCCTGGAGACGAGACAGGGTGTGTTGGAGTCAATACAACTTAGAAAAAATATAATAGCAATAGAATATGGTTTAATTATGCTCATTAACTAAAGGTACTGAAGACGTACCATTGAGGATATCACCCTGATGACAAGAGGGGCACCACAGGGACAGTTCAGTTCCTTTTTTCTGAGAGTGCACTGGTGAACTGGGGCATTTGGGACAGTGTGAATATGTACGATGTTAAAAAAGTTGGAATTTTGATTTTCAGTCATTCAATCATTCAAACATTTTGACTGGAAAATTGTTTTCTGATGTCTTTTGAACTAGTTTGATAAACACAGGTTTGGTCTTGGATCCCTCCTTGACACCCTCAGCCATTGCATAGATTTGTTCAAATAATAAGCAAAACTAATTCAATTTAAGTACTCATTGTAGGTTTTTAAATGCTTAACTGAACACACTGACATACTTTAAAGTATTTTCATGATTTTTACTTATTTTAATATTATTGTTTTACTGAGTTTTATCTCAGCACAGCCATCTTTGGGAGAGGTATAGACTGTTTTCACAGCAAAAAGTTTTCACCCTCATTGCTCACTAGCAGCTCAACTCAGAGTCATAACATTTCAACTGAGACAATAATGTCCTAGTTAGCCACTAGGGGGCCTTCAGGAACATAATACATCAGGTGTGTCGGTGATGGAATTTAACAAATCCATGCTATGGCTGGAGAGCAGTAAAAAGTCAGGAACCAAATCTCCATCTTAGCTAGTGTTCTTCCATCTGTATTCTTCTAACTAACATATCAATAACTTATAGGACATTTTACTGTATTCATATTTACTTGTATCAGTAGGATGTTTTAACTGGCAGGAACTCACTAAACTGCCTTAACTTGCATGACTGCCTAAGATCTATGCACAATACTGTCAACGGTACTGTAGATCATCACTTGCTCACCTGGAGATGGCAAACAGACACCCATTCATAGAACCAAAGCAGGAAAGAGCTACAAATATTGGAACTGCCATGGAGAAGTTGCCCATCAGCTTCTCTGCAAATGTCTGGGAGAAAAAGCAAGAAAGAGAGAAAGAGAGAGAGAGAGAGAAAGAGAGAGAGATTGAGGAGAGAAAACATACTTTGTTTAAGCAAATAAAAACACAACATTGATCTTCCATTTTCTTCCATTCGGAGTGTTGTTTGTGTTTATGAATAATAGGTGTGGGTAAAAAGGCTTCATCTTCCCCATAAGAGTGAATGTGTGGAGTGATGGGCGGAGAGCAACAGGCCTTAAATGAGTGCATTACGCAGGCCTAATGGGATGGGAAAGCTTTTAGAGCATCTCTGAGTCTAGCGGGAGATCTACATGCGCACACTCTCACTGCGCTGCTGTCAGTTAGAGTGAGAGAGATGTGATTACTGCAGCAGAGAAACAGACAGACGTTAAGAGTAAACGCCTCTATGAAATTACACTTACTTTCCCGAGGAACAAGGTGTGGGCTATTACAGTCATTAATGGCGGTGTAGAGTGTGATTTTAAAATGCTGGAGATTTCTCCTCTCTCATGCCGGGGAGGAGGGAGGGGGAGTAATGGTGTGGGAGATGCTCAGGCAGCTGCCTGATTACAGTGATCAGACTTTGTTCAGGTGAAATCAACAAATGTGTTTACAGTGTAAACCCGAGCACCCGTACTGGCAAGTAAACAAGACAACAAAAAGAATAAATGAAAAACTGCATTTGTGAATGATTGTCGGTTTTTCCACAGTAAATTCCCAGGAACCAGTAACTCCTGTTGCATGCATTTTTGTCAGTACCTAATAAGCAACATAAGTAGCTGCTTGGTGTCTCATGGCCACCAGGGGGACTTCTAATAATTTCTGAGTTATTGCTATACTAGTAAAAGTAACAAGTTTGACATCATAACAAACTTTCATAACTTTTTGGTGCTATATATTTTTGGAGTTTTGCGTGAAATTATATCATTTTTGGCTTTTTTTTCCCTGTTTTTTTTGTGTAATAAACATGTGTATAACAAAACATGTGTAATTGCAATAATTTCAATACTTCATTTCCGGAAAAATTTCAGGGGTGCCAACAATTTCGGCCGTGACTGTAGAACCCTTTTTAAAAAGGTTGTACACTCTTAAAAAAGATGGCTCTTCAGGGGTCCTTTAGTAAAAAAAAGGTTCTACATAGGACCAAGAATACTAAAAGAACCTTTTACATGATTAAATGGTTCTTCGCATTTTGAAAGGGTTCTTTGGGTTGATAGAGAATGTGCTGTATATGGTTCTATACAGAAACATTTTGAAAAGTGTTCTATATAGAACCAAACAGGGTTCTTCTATTGTTACCATGTCAAGCTCGTAGCAATAGAATAACTTTTCAAAAAAGTACAGCACATTCTCCATCAGTCTGAAGAACCATTTCAAGATCCAAAGAACACTTTAATCAGGCAAAAGCTTTGAGTGTTTGATTTTGTGCAGAACCATTGCCTTTACTAAAGAACCCCCTTTATGTAGTAGGTAAAGCATTTATACACTGTTGTTACTGCTACACGGGTTTGATTGACCTAAGCTATTTTAGCTGGGTAAACAATAAATATTGTATTGTCATACAGAGACCCCTTAGTGGATCTATAACTTATTAGAACCCCAAACGAGCGTCCATCAGTTTGTGGTGGTCATTGTTATAAGTTAGCCTTTACATTTACAGTACATCTGCTGGAAGATTAAAAAATCCTGCTCAGGGCCAGAAAGTCTAGAGCCCACCATGATTGTTGTGTCTTCAGTTCACTCACCACGGCAACGGCACGCGAGGCCAGTAGCTCTGCCGCTGACATCACTGTGTAGTAGGCCACATTGGCTAATGTGTAGCACACAGTGACAATCACCATGGAGATGCAGATAGCCAAGGGGACATTTCTGGAAAACAAAGTCATTACATGAACTTATTTAATTATAAATTTATTTATTTTTACTCAGACATTTTATTTTTATTTTTTCTCTTTCTTCTTAAACAGGCTGTGTTTTGATGCTTTTTCTTTGAGACATATGCAAGTATGTCTATGTGAGTATGTTATATGTAAATGACCTCTGTTCTGACTGGCTGCCCTATATTGTGCCTCATTCCTTGTAACTTCTGTATGAGTGGGCAGGGCTAAACTGCTGAAGGCTAGATAGGTGGATGTGTGTAAATCCATTGTTTTTTGTGACAACAGTTAACTAAATAAACAGTTTAAAAAATGTTGTGTTAATTCAGTGAGTCCTACACAGTGTACCTCAGTACTAGTAACATATAAAATGTGAGATTAATTTAACTTAAATTAAGCTTAAAATTCAATGTGTAATAACTTTAAAATGATTATACAGTCTATTAAACATTAATTAAAAGAAATTGATGGGCTCCCAAGAGGTGAATCATCAGGAAGATGATGTTACAACCTCATAGAAGAAGAAACATGTCATAAATCTATATTGTTTGGCTAACTAAGGTGCATTACTGAAAATTTGAGTTAGGAAAACTTTTGACTAACTAAGAATGTCCTGGAAGACCACTCAAGTTCTGGGGGGCCACTCAGGTCCCAGAGGGCCGCAGTGCAGCAGATATTACTGTATTTCTTTGCCTTATCCTCTGCGTTCAACGCATTAAAGCCTAATTAGGTAATAAGTTGAATCAGGTATGTTAAATGAGGTAGGAGGCTGAAGTGTGCAGGGATGTGGTCTTTAGAGACTAGAGACATTGATATTGTACTCCATGACAGCCATCCTCTAGCCAGTAACCAATGGATAGCTTTGGGTGGTAGAAAACTCGCAACCTAGCAATCCAGCAGCACATGTTACCATGTCAGTGTTACTGCTGTGCTGAGAATGGACCACCACCCAAGTAATATCTGGTCAACAGTGGTGCTTTTGTCAGAAACTGACCAGAGATGAACTGTGCAGCAACAAATGTGCTAAAGTCACAGTGTACACCTATTAGACTTTAATCAGCTCTTATGTTAAATTGACTGAGTGATGTTTACAGGTGCAGCCCCTTTCCAGTGAGTTTCCAGTGATGGACTGCTTTAGCCTTTTAGGCTAAACTGACTTCTAGTTCTGAATGGTGGATGGTACTGACCTCTCAGGATTTTCCACCTCCTCTGTCACAAAATTCAAGTAAAACCTGTAAACAAAGGTAGAATTTTTCAAACAGTGAGCTCAGTTATTTTTTCATCAGCTCATTAAGCAATAAAACATGACAGGAAGGGCATTAAAGCGAGTAATTTCACAGCTTTGATTTGAAGCACATGCTGAAGGTTGTTTCAAATAATTGTTTCAATAATGGAAATTTCCTCCACCAGATTACACATTGCCCTAACACAGAGTGATTATGTGGTGTTGCACTGTGAAAAGCTTTCAGGATGTCAACAATGGAAACATCAAGTTGAAGCATAAACAAACTGAAGACATATCTGCTAACCAGAGGTGGCTTTCCTGGCTACTTTAATAGTATTCAATGTAAATGTTACAAGATAACATTGGCAAATTATGATTAACCAGCTTACTATAGTGGGGTTGCATTAATTTAGTCCCACTTTGTTTGCATAGCACCCTATAGATTATCTACATATGTTGGAATTATTAAGAAACTATCTGAAGATACTCAACAACATTAGAGTCAGGGTCAGGATTAGGACCCAGGGTTAGGTTTAGGTTTTGGGATTAGGACCAGGACTGGGGTTACGGTGACTTGAGGGATATTTAGTAGATATTTATTTGAATATAATAATAACCAATGGAAGCTAAACATGTACAGTGGGATGTCCAAATAAAGTGTCACCCTTATTGTTGTCACTCATTTGTTACTTAGCAGGTATGTTGAAAATAATATGGTGTTATTACCAACATGGGCCCACTTTTCTACCAGTTATGTTGGACTCACCAGCCAGCATAGGCATACATCCCTGAGTAGAAGGCAAGGGGCAGGCTGGTCAGCTGGACGGTGTCCACTTGAAATGCATTGTGGAAGTTTTTGGTCTCTCCTGCAGAAATAAGAACCCAAACATGTGACAACAGCAACTTTCATCGACCAGATCAAGGAGTTAAGATGAATGAGTTGTCAGTTCTCAGTGACATTATGTTCCATTCCTCTTTTGATTAGCCATCAGTGACTAGATGACTACAAAGCAAAGATGATTGGCACTGAGGTTTTGATATAAAGGACAAGGTCTATCTTTCATGAAAGGTGAAAGCACAGTGAACTTACAGAAGTGCTGTCTCAGGCTTACATAAAGAGAGTTCCCTTTTGTGGTTTGACAGCTTAATTAGCTCCTAGCAAGGCTGTTTGGCTATCATTGCTTTGTTCCCAGTCACGATGCTGGACATCCCCTGCATATTACGGTGTTTTCTTCCTCTAATAAACAAGTTAGCTATTTAATCTTTAGAGAGAGTTATTTATTTTGTTTTGCTGCACTATTCATATGTAATTACATAATTATATATTAAACTACACTGCAAAAAAATAAAATCATCAGTAAAATCATCTTAAGTCTAGTCAATATATCTAATATTTCTGATTTTGAGACTGCTTTAAGCTTATTATAAGATTATATAACTTCTTTCTAGATATTTTTACTTGTATTAAGTGATTTTAATGAGTTAAGTTATCTCACTATGTTAGCAGATAATTTTGCTTATTGTAAGAAATAACTAGAGAAGTATCTAGAAATTAGTTAATTATATAATAAGCTCGCAACAGTCTAAAATGTGAAATACTATATATTTTGACAAGATCTCAAACAGTTACACTTACATTCTGTTTCATCAGGTTTCAGTCAGCATTTCATATTTTTCCCATTGGCTTCAATGTCAAACTGATAATATGTGGCAATAAATGTAATTTTTGTGTTTGTTTCCTCAAATTCAACTGATGATAAACTATCTTATCTTCTACATACAAATACAAATGTGGCATGGATTGAAAAATAAGAATCTGCACTTTAAACAGAATTCATGCACATGTTTCAATGAGCTATGAGTAGGATGTAATTATTGTATTAATAATATAATATAATATAATATAATATAATATAATATAATATTGTATTAAGCCATGATTTTATTATCAGCAGCAATAACTGTGACCTCTGAGGGCTCATAAGCTTTTTCTGATGTTTACCTTTAAACAGCTGGTACAGTCCTGGGATGATGATGATGCCGATGGCCAGCAGTTTACTGAATGCGAGGAAGATCTGCAGCCTGGCTGTCCAGCTCACACTCATACTGTTAATGTACATCACTGTAGCTGCACAGACAGAAGACAAACCATGAATGTGATTTGAGTAGAGTAGTACAGGACTGATATTTACACATGCAGTGCAGGATACAGAGATCTAAGCACAGCTTCCTTATTTGTTTATGCAGGTGTTATTTACATAAAACTTCTAGAGCACCAGACAGAGAGTCTGTCTATACTCAGCCCAGATGAAAAGGCCTGTGCTGTAACTGTGAGATTAAATGTAACTGTAAGATTTTTGTAACTGTGGTTGCATGAGCCATTTTTTCTATGAAGCTAAATCTAAAACATGATAGTAATACTAATGATGAATGTTCATAAAGTATAGCCTTACTGATTCCGATTGCTGTGGTCAGCTTGATGGCCATCTGAGGGACTCCACACGGCATAAAGATCGGCTCCAAAATATAGCGGGCAAACGCCAGAGAAATAACAGCCACACCTGCAGGCCTGAGAATACATTCAAATTAATCAAGTATTACAACACAGTAATAATATATTTATAATATGCAGTGCAAGGAAACACGCCAACAATAATAGTAATAACATATAATGGTATTATTATTATTATTATTATTATTATTATTATTATTATTTGTTTTAAAATCTACTAATGTTAATGTTATGAATATAAAATAAAATATATACAAAAACAAAAATGCATATAAAAATATCAGTGTAAATAAATATAAATAAAAACGTGCATAAACCTAGAGACTATTATAGTATAAATAGTACATAATAGTAGAAAATTGATTTTAATGTAGTTTTATAGTCCACATTACAGTATCATAATATTGTTCTTGTTGTTTTTGTTGTTGATTTCTGATGGTTGGTGTTTTTGGCACCCTCTAGCTCTGCAATACCAGGATGTACCTTTACCCTTGGTGATTACCCCTGGCTATAAACAGGTAGGTTTTACTTTACTGACAGAGGCTCTTTGCTTGAGAGCTCTATTCTTTTTGGCTGCCCTGTATTGGTCCTCATTCAAAAAGTCTGGGCTGAAACACTCTTTACAACTTTAACATGATTGGATGGGGCTAGACTGGTGTTATCTATAAAAGATTGTTAAAAATTAAGGCTAAAGTATGTGCTGATATGTATGTGGTTCCCCTCCCTCTTCTCTCCACATGCTTCTTCTGATGTTGTAAATCCTTTTTATTTTGCACTGTCTAATGAAGATATTTAGCTCAGGCTTGGGCTCCATTACGTTGTGTGTGTTTCTTACGTTGTGTGCGTTTCTTTCTGGATTGAACTCCCACAGGGTTCAGTAATTAGTCACAGTTAGTTTAACTGGGATTATCTGGGGTTAGTTCAAATGGGATTATCATGGGTTAGTTTAATTGGGATTATCATGAATTAATTTAACTGGAATTATCAGGTAGGTTAGTAAAACTGGGATTATCAGGTAGGTTAGTTCAACTGTCTCAACAATGTGATCATTGTGCATTATTACAACTAGTAATCCAATTATTATAAATTTTCACAAAACTGACTTCCAATTATGTGCTAAAACAGGTCATAATGCCTAAAGCTTAATGCTCAGTGAACAAACCATGTAGAAGAGTGTAATTTGGGCTTTACTGAACAAAGAACAAGACATTGATAAACCACCGCATTCTTTGAACTAAAGTGTTACCTTTTAATCTTGCAATTGTTTAGTTTTGGATAATATAGGATGATAACAGCACTGCTGCAGACACAGGCTATAAACTCATCATATTCTATAGCAGGACATAACACATTGGAAAATTATCTGGCAAGTTGCTGTTGTCTTTCTGTTAGCAGGGCATCTCAACACGACCTTCTGAACAAAATGGATGAGAAGATAATAACAGTGTTAATTCTATTAATATAATACTGTCATCAATCAGCTCAAGCCCAGCAGCTGCACCTAATAAAACAGGCACTCAGTGTAAGTGAAGTACTATAGCATTATGAGGGAAAGCACTGCAGTGGGTTGTGTAAACAGGCCCCTATATTACTGCATGTGATTTGTTTTTGTCTTATGTAAGCCCACTTTCTCACTTATTAAAAAAGGCACAAAAGGTAAACTCGGGAAGCTGTTGTTGTTGGACGTGGTCTGAGCCAGTTCCTGATCCTATGCGTGAGAGGTTCATGCGATGAAATCTGCAGAAAATCCTCTTCACCATTTGGGACAGAGTCGAATTTACTGTATTTGCTCCAGTGCTCCCAACATAAGCCTCTTCATTTCAGCAGCTCATCCACATGGTTACCACAGCCAGGCTCAGATCTGAGTATGTGTGTTTACTGTAGCTCTATGAGCTGCTGGACGAGGACAGTCAGGCTTTACTGACCTAATGGCGATGATGTCCGCCCACAGCTGCACGAAAGCCACCTGCGGGCCAAAGGCCTCCAGAATGTATGTGTAGTGACCACCAGACTTCTTGATGCTGGTGCCCAGCTCAGCGTAGGACAGAGCACCTGGGGGGAGGAGAGAGAGAGAGAGAGAGAGAGAGAGAGAGAGAAATGGGAAGGGAAAAGAAAAGAGGATGAACATTTTCTGAGAAACTTAACATGATTTATTCAATTTAGAGGGTTTAATTTCAACCGCATGTAAAATTACAGCAGATCAGCCTAATGAAAGACTTTCCTATTGTTCTGTCTGGCACACATATCATTGCTGTCATGTCAAAACTTTGACACTGTAAACTTCAGCTGCCTCTTACACTGTGTGATCATTTAAGAATAAATGGACCAATATAAATGCTGCAATGCTTACATTTATTTGATATGTTTTATATATATATTTAGAACAGAGGTAACAGAGGTAATGATCTAACAAAGTGAAAACTTCATAGATGTTTGTTTCATTTAGTTATTGTTTTCAACATATTCGAACAAGAAGACTGTGCTCCGAATGCCCTTGCATGCTAACTTACACATTCAGCAATAAAAGAAGTCGTGTGTATCTTTTACACAGCGATAGAAAACAAGGTAGCTCACAGAAAGCTCCAGTTCTATCTGCTGATATGTTTAATTCTGGTCAACGTGGACATGCTTGCACCATAAGTCTTCTGGCAGCAGATTTAAACAAGTTTAGGGGGCCATCACCAAATTGTCCAATTGGATCCCTAGCGAGATGCTCAGTTCTGTAGTTTTAATCATTTTTGAGGCATCACATTATGTGGCGGTTTATATTAACCTCGCTGCTGGACTTTAGTTACATTTAGGGACTCATATGCCTTCAAAGAGGGGGACAATTATTTATTATCGCCCACCATTAATTCTTCAGTGATATGAAGCTGAAGTCAGCTATTCACCAGCTTCTCGTTCACTTTTTCCCATTCCACCTAAGGCACCAGAATGTAACTGCTGCATCATTTAAGGTGTAAAAGGAAATTTAGCTAGCTAGCTACCAAGACATCAGCTACTACTAGCAACATTTTATGCCTTTCATGAAGAAAAGGACCATAATACATTGAACTGACATTAAACTAAGATATTACAATGGTTATCGTAATTTTTAACAGAGAAAATTATTACATTTCTTTGGTTGCTTGCACAGCCATCTTGCCAGTTTCTCATTTGGAGTGTCTCTGAAAAACCTCTGTTTGGCGGGGCATGTAGCCCTAACACTTCACCCTACCCCTTTGTTTCAACAAAAAATCGGGACACCTTACCCTTAGACGTGAACACACAAAATGGAGGGCCAGGGCTGAGTGGTAGGGGCGAGGGATGGAATGGGATTGGACCTTAATGGTGTAGCCTGGTGTGATTACCTGGACTGGAAACTAAACTTCAGTCTACTGTGTGGGATGGTGGTTCACTATACCAGCCACAACAGCAGGTCTTTTCCAAAAACGGCTCTTTGAAAACCATCCATTGAAAGTTTCTTAAGATTATCTTACCTTAAAGGTTTTCTAAAGCAGCTGTTCTCAAACTGGTCCTCAGGGACCCCAAGACTGTCCACTTTTTTGCTATGGGTCCCTGAGGATGGTTTGTAGCACTATGTTTGTTCTTCTGTGGCACTTATTCCAAAAAAAAATGTCACATTAAAAGTTTAATAATAAAGTTCAATAATCATCTGTGCATTGCAGTTATACAGAATGACATGGCTATTGTGCATTGCTGTCTCCATTGTGCAAGAATAATAATAAGTCTACAGTTTAATAACCAGTGTGTGGGTGAGTGCTTGACAGCATTTGGGTGAAAACTGTCCCTCAGACCAGTTAGTTGTGCCTGTCTTACTGAAGTGTTTCTACAGCTACTCAAATGCACAGAACCCGGTCAGCACCTGGGAAATGAGGTGAAAGCACTGTGAAATTAATTAGATCCTTAGATCAGTTCATTTAGGTTGCGCTGCCATGAAAGACTTCTCTCAGACCTCCAAGAATGTCGGCAGACTCCCTTGATGAACAATACGCATATTATTACTCAAACAATGAGATGTTTCTTTCAAGCAATGTTTTGTAGCAGTGAGTCGACAAGTAATGTTGAATTCCAGAACTGACTTGTGGAGCTCGCATGAGATTGTTAGAGAGTTGATATGGTGTGAGGAATTCAGCAAGAACGTCTGTGCACTCTAAAAAATGCAGAGTCTAAAGTGCTGGTTTAGGCACTTGGATGGTTCTGCTGGGTTTTTTCTCTCTCTCATTTTGTTACCCAACATTTAGGTTAATGGTGTGAATCAGCTGCTGAGTTACTTTAATCAGCAGTTGGGTTTTTGTTGCCACTAGTTAGCTTTCAGAGTGACACAAGTTTGACTTTCCAACGACAGAGGGCAGTGGACACATAGAAAATTTGGTATTTCAGATTTAAGGTGAGTGCTTCTTATTAATTCTGATAAATTACTGCTTATGAACATGTTGTTTGAAATAATATTAATGTTGCATTTTGTTTAGTTACAGTTTTCATTTGGCTTCATGAAGTGAAATAAAGTCCTTGCCTGTACGTCACCTGCAGTAAGTAAGATTCAGTAAGTTAGATTCAGTAGTAAGTTGACCTAGATACAGTAGTTTACTATCAGGGCAGTATATACACCGTTAGAAATAAAGGTTCTGTGCAGGTACATTTTCGTTCATCAAGGTACAAACAATGTAAATGTTCCCTCAAAGCTCCAACAGTGGTTTCCAGGTGAACAAAGTACAGAACAATAAAATAAAAAGCCTGGAGATGAGACTGGGTGTATGGAGTCAGTACAACTTAGAAAATATCATTTCAATGGATCATCATACAGTTACGCTCCCTGACTTCCCTGAGATGTACGCTTGAGGCTTTCACCCCAGTGACAAGAGGGGTAGTGCCCCAATGACAGTTTACTACTTTTATCTTTGGGAGTGTATGAGAACTCAGGATAAAGGGGGAAAAAAGGTCATACATTTTCCACACACATCCTAATTTTCACTATTTTAATAGTTTTAAAAGCACTTTGTTCCAGCATGTTGTCAAAAGCTGCATTAGTAACTAGTTTAAATCATCAGGAGCTTAGATGGCATACAGACAGACAGACAGACAGACAGGTTACACACTGTTCTTTTGTGCAGATTTAGTTGTCACAGTACAACTGTTCAGATAAAATAATGAATTACAAAATGATAAACAATCTTCTGATAAATTATGCTTTATCTTTCAATTTGATTTCAGTTTAATGCACACTAGCACTAGCAGCTCCAAGTTCTAATGTTTTGAGTTTTTTTCACTAGTGTGGGACCTTCATCCTGCAGTAGTCTAGAGGAGCAGAAGAGCACCTTCCTCTTTGTATAGGAGCTTGGAACTGGAAATTATCTGTGTATTGTTGCTATGAGTGGGCACACTTTGGAACAGCAGACCCTCCTCAAGGCTGCTGATCATAGTAATCATCCAACATCCATGGTAAAATTAACCCGGCACTGAGTAAAATTTTGATCTAAATGCTTGTTCATAATGCATTTTTTTTTCTTCAAAACTGTGCACTAAAATTTGCAGAACAGTGCATGTTTAAGTTTGTGTAGGATATGTGAACTTATGCAGCTTTCACAGACAGGCTGGTTTGAGTATTTCTATAACTTTAGAGTTACTCAGAATAAAACAGTAAAGAAAAAAACATCCAGTGAGCAGCAGTTCTGCGGACAGAAGTGTTGATGAGAGAGGTCAATGGAGAATGGCCAGACTGCTTTGAGCTGACAGAAGGGCTACAGTATAGCAATAATAAACCTGCTTTTGGGAACCAAAGAGTGTAAAAAACTGTGTAAACCTTCTAAAAACCTTAAATAAAAGATAGTAAGATAGTTTTTTTTAAAACTGTTTTGGTCTTTGTATACTCTTTTTAGAATTGTAAAATGTATAAAATAGGACAGCAAGTCCAGACTTTTTACTGATACTGTTTGTCCACTCCCGAAATCACATTTTTACCGTATGGAACTACATGGAAAACAAAGGGTTGGGGTAAGAGTGAAGTGTGTAAGAATGGACTGGCTGGTAGGCCATCTACATTAGAGTTTAGCTGGCAGGAGGTGAGTGCATGGGTATGTATGTAGCGTCATGGTGCTGTTCCTGAAGGATAGTGGTAGCAGATCGGCCCGGGAATGAAAAGCGTGGCTCTAAATTCCCCCGTTCTTCAAAGCCTGCAGGCAGCAGTGCACAAAAGAGTGCTGACAAGTGTGAAATGACTTCTGACACACACATGAATACACACACGGTTAAACAATACTGCTTTGACACACAAATGAATTCATGCCCCGTACACACAGCCATCAACCTCGACAGCCTTGATTCTGCTGAGAAAATAACTGCCAAGACAATACAAATCTCTTTGTTTCTGTTCCTCTATCGTGCACATACATGCACACACACACACACGCACACACACACACACACACACACACTCTCACACCCATAGTCTCTCTCACACACACACATATACTCACACACACAGACTCTCTCACACACACACTTACACACACACACTCACACACACTCACACACAGACTTTCTCTCACACACATACATACACTCACATACATATAAGACATTGACCTTTGACCTTTTGTCAAGAATTTCAGTACTATAATATACTTTGAGTGAATATTTGCAAGCTCTAAATGTAAACTGCTCAATGCTAAACATTTTGTTATTATTTTAAGTTAGTGAACCACCATTACATTTATCTGCAACACAGTTTCTTATTATGCCCTTATAATGCACTTATTAAGCCTTATATTGTCAGTTCATGGTAATTAACTGCCCATTACTGCTTTATTAAGCAATAACTAGGCTGAATTAAGCATTTCCAGAGCACTATTCACACATTACACTTCATATTCTTTTGCACATGTTAATATGCCCCATCAAGCCTAATGAGACCTACTGAGGCTTAATATGCCAGTAGCTTGTAGTTAACAGCCTGCCTATCACTGCTGTGTCAATCAGTAACTAGCATGACTTTCCAAAGAACTTTTATTTGTGTATTACTCATTATAATCTTTGCACATTATTCGATGATATGAGGATATCCAGCTAGTGCTTGATAAGACAGTCTATCAGGTACTGACAGGAAGCTCTGTTAATAAGCACAGTTTATGCATGTTCAAATGAGGCATATACTCCAGAACCTACACACTTAAAAATGATGGCTCTTAAAAGGTTCCTTAGTAAAGGCAATAGTTCTATATAGAACCACAAGCACTCAGAGAACCCTATGCATGATTAAAAGGTTCTTTGCATCATGAAAGCATTCTTCAGATTGATGGAGAATGTGTTTTATATGATCCTAAGGGTTCTATATACCTCCAAAAAGGATTCTGGAGCTAATTGGTGAGAAGGTAAGCACATTATAGATGAAATTATTTGGTAAGGATTGTGCACACAGTTATTATAAACAATACACAACTTAAAGTTCTCTGAGAAATGTTTAATTCACCTGCTTAATACAGTAGTAATGGGCCAGAGCCAGTCAGTTAGCAGTTATGGGTTTGATAAATTAGTGTCCAGCTATTGGCTTAATAGTGCTTTAAAATGGTCTAATAATGCACCCCTAAAATGTTTTGTAAAGAATTATGCATAACATTGCTAAATTCACTCTAGCTTATGCTTAATAAGGTAGTAATGAGCAGCCAGTCAATTACCAGCTATAGGCTCAGTAAGGCTTAACAAATTCACTATAATACCCCGTATATAAAAGTGTTAGTAAACTCATTGCTGAAATGAAGGCTGTGTGTGCTCTGTGATTGATTTAATGGGCCTAAAAGGTCAAGGCCCAGCTAGATATCACATTCAGTCCTGTTCCTGAGGGCATGGGTAGCTTGGGGGGATGCCAAAACATGAATAACTGACAGGAAACTAACTGAATAAACAAATAAAGGTGAACACCACCTGACTTTAGATGAAAGCAAACAACAGCACCTTCTATTAGAGGAAAGCAAGGAATGACAATTGCATGTTTTGTTCTTGTTATTAGCACCCACCTTATTAATTTAGCTTAAAACAAGGTGTGACACGGCTGTTTTTTCAGTCTAAATACAGCATGTCTCATGTGAAACACACTGAGTTGAGTTCTAGAGACAAAACATGAGACTGGAAACTGTGGCCTACAAACCTTCAGCACCTTCAGCACTCTTACTTATCATTTCAATGTCATAAAAGACAATCAAGTGTCACAATCAGTGCTACTACCATTTGTTACTACTCATATACTTTTGTTCATTGTTATAGATAAAAATGTGTCAGGGCTGGTTCTCTGTTTCTAGTGGCAGTTTACTAAAATATTGGGTCTCACTTTATTTGGATAGTCCAATATAGTCCCCTATAGATTATCTACAGATGTTCACATTGTTAACAAACTATCTGTTGAACTTCAGTTGATTCTTAACAGTGGTGGGGTTAGGGTTGGGATCTGGACCAGGGTTAGGGCTAGGACCAGGGTGAGATTGGGTTTAGGTTTTGGGTTGAGGATAAGGTTTGGGTTAGAATTGGAGCCAGGTTTGGAGTCTTTGTCAATTATAGTCAATTTAGTGGATATTTAGTTGAATGTAACTCTGAAGTAAATTAAGTATCTACAAAGCATGTAACGTGGACTATCCAAAATAAAGTGTTATGAAATATTGACTTGCTGTGTCAAAACAATGACGCTTTCTTGATATGGTTGCCTAATATCTGTAAATAATTACTTTTTTTCTCAAGACGTTGACTTCTGTCAAAACACTTACTTACTCAAGGTCAGTGTGTTAGTTGGTGTGTCCAGTTATTGCTATGATATCTAAAAATGTTTATCTTTACTTTTGTCTTAAATTATGATTTTAAGATTTAATAAATAA